ACTAGGCAGAGAGGGCCCAGCTCCAGTGATAGGGTGGGGACCAGGAACCAGCATTCCTGCCCTCCTGCCCTGCCCCCTTTCTTTAGCCTAGGATGAAGGGGCAGGATTTGGGGGCTGGGAGGAGAATGGGAAAGAACGATGCACCTCACAGGATCTCCCAAGGACCCCCACCCCCACACCCCAGCGCACACTCTCCAAGTGCACAACACAGAACCCCACCAGGCCAGGGGTGGGGATGACACCACCCAGCACAGTGCTGCTAGGACAGGCCCCGTAAGGGGTGGGGGTTGCTGGCAGGTTGGAGGTCTAGGCTCCTGGTGCTGCCAGGACAACAGCCCCAGGGACAGCTGCCAAATCTCTGCCCCTGGAAGAGGCCTGAAGCCAGCCTGGCCTGGGACTACCCAGTTAGCGGCTTGTAGATGCCCCCCATACCCTGCCCCTTATGGTGCGCTCCCCCTGGGACCCCCATCTCTTGCAACTGTACATCCAGGCCCCTCTACTGGCCCCCAGCAGTCCCCGTCTGCCCTGTGGACATCACAGCCCTGGCCCCAGGATCCTGTTCTGGGACTGGCAACACAGACCACCCTCCCTGTCCGATCCCAGAGCTGGCCGAGGATGGGCCTTCCCGCACCCCACCACCCACCACCACTGGCAGCCTCATAGCAACCACTGCAGAGAGCAGCAGATTTTGCTCGTAGAAGCGGACCAGGACTGTCTCTCTCCCTCTCCAGCCAATTTGCAAGGAACTTTGGGATGAGACAGAAGGAAGTGGGCCCAGATCATAGCAAGAGGTTCAAGTAAGACATCGGGCATGATTTGCTGACATGTGGAGGCAAAACAGGAGAGGCTTCACTTGGGATGATGCCAAGGACAGATATGCCCCTACCTATGACACAGGCATGTGTTCAGGGGCCATGACCAGGGGCAGAGAAGGGGACGAGGCCACCTGGAGGCTGATCACCTGGATTTGGGGGGCAGCTTCTAGATTTTCCCCTGGGTGGCCTGAGCAGCAGGGCCTCCGTAGAAGAAGGGCAGCCGTCAGCAGCCAGGTTGAGGAGTCTGAGCTTGCCCCATGAGGCCACCCCACAGTGAGTCCACAGACCCCACAGAAGCCCTCCCCTGGGCCTCTGGGAGACCCTGACCTTGAACTGAGTGGGGGCCGAGGTCAGATGCCCACTGGTGTCAGGCTGTCCACTGAAACCCAGAGAGGGGCAGGGACTTGCCCAAGGTCATAGGCCTGGGCATGGCACCTTCAGCAAAGTGAATGGGGCCTCCACCCAGTGCTGGCCCAGCCAGAAAATGGGGTCATACTCTTCGCCCACCCCTCAAGAGTGGAGAGTGTCACCTGGACACGCAGGCCTGGCCAGGCCTCTGCTAGGGGCCCCTGCAGAGGGCAGGGCTTGCATAGTGTTAGCTGGTGTGAACTGAGCACTTACGGCCTGCTGGGCGCTGCACGGAGTGCTGGCTGGGCAACGCCTGCTTCAGTCTCCACACTGACCCAGTGGGGCAGGTGCCCTTCCTCTCCTGATTTTACAGGTGAAGAAACAGGCTCAGACAGGGGGCCCTTGCCCAGGGGCACCTAGAAAGCCCAGTCCCTGGGATTGGAGGCTGGATTGCTCACCCACACTCCACATCTGAACCACAGCCGCTGCCGGGACAGAGACAGAGCGTCCTCCTCCCCGTCCGTTGGGCGCCTCTAGTGACGAGCCCTCCACCTCCCCACTCCAGAGCAGCCACTGGGCTTGGGGCAGAACTGGGTGTCTCTCGCACCCCAGCAGTCGCCGCCGCCTCCTCCACAGCCTTGGCGCTCAGTGCTTGTCTCCCTGCTTTGTAAGGGAGTGCCTCCACCTGGTGCGCAGTGACTAGGCAGACATGGGATCAGGTCCTGACCCTGCCACCCGGTGGCCGTGGGCAAATAAGTTAACCTCTACGGGCCTCTGTTTCCTCATTGGTGAAATGGGGGCAGTCATGGTATTCATCTCATGGGGCTGTTGGGAAGGTTTGCCTGGGCCTGTCCCAGGTGAAGGCTGAGGATGCTGTTCCTGGGGCACTGGCTGCTGGAGCCCTGTCTCTTATTTTTAATCAGTGAAATTGACCTGTCCATGAAGAGGCGGATTTAAACAAATAAGACGTATGTTCCTTGTCTCTGGGGTCCTTTATGTGGTTGCCGTGGGGAGGGGGGCAGGTCCAGGTCCTTAGAGACTGAGGCATCTAGGTCCATCTGCTAAGGGGATATGGCCTGGCCTCCCCTGCACTCCATCTTGTCCCCTCCCCATGGGGACAGCCTTTAATCTCTACGACTGCCCGAGGGCTGCTCAGGGGCTAAGAAGGTTCCTGGGTGCCAGGATAGCTGGCTCTGGACCCCCCTCCACCTCTAGCAACTTCTCTGCTCCCTAAAGGGAGGTCTTAGCAAGGTTTCAAGGCTGGGTGGGGGTGGGGGTCCAGGCGGTGGCAGAGTGCCCCCTTTTAGAAGACCCCCTAGGGGTACCCCAGGCATGGGTGGCATGAGTCCACTCCTCGGGATGGCTGGGAACAGCTTCCCAGGCCCCTTCACCTTGAGCTGTGCCCGTTTGGGAATAGCCCACCCACAGCTTCCCCACTCTTGCTTCGACCTCTGTGGACTTTGCAAATATTTGCTTTCTCTGGACACTGGTTTGGTTGGGCTGGGAGGGGAGGGAGATTCTGAGGCCCCCTAAGCTGCCCTGTCTCCTTCCCACCCCTTCAAGCTCTCCTAGCCTGGCAGGGCAAGCCCTAGCCTGCTCCTGGGTTGCAGCTGGGCAGAGCCTCCCTCTGAGGCCCTGAGGGCCAGGGTCTCCTCTTTCCCCTTTCCTCAGGAAGAGCCCCAGCCTCCAGTGCCCATCCTACATGGAGGGGAGGGTCAGAAGCCCCTGTGGGCTGGGGCTTGGCTGGCCCAGGGCTGCCTGTCAAGGAGCAAGACCTCCACAGGGCCCTTGGGCCAGGGCTGAGGTTTCTCCAGGACCCCGGGGCATGCGTTAACCAGAAAAGCCCCATAATCAGATTGGACAACTGGTCGCCAGGAGCCCGACCTCCCTATTGGGAAACCCCCTTCCAAGTTGGAGCCTTGGGCCAGGCTGGGATAAAGGCCACACTGTTTCCCCAGGAGGGGAGGGGAGCAGGGGGTGGAGAAAGGTGACTCTGTTGGCCGCACAAGGCCCCATTCAGCCCAGGGCCTCGTTGTCCCGGGCAGGCTAGCTGGGCCCTGCAGCAGCCACAGTCTCCTCGGCCCTGGGAGCCACGGCTGCTGGCCTGGGATGGCAGCTTGCAGGACACAGCGGAGGGGCCCCAGAGGCCCCAGTCTACACCTGGCGTGCCTTCAGCCCTGCCACCTCCTATCCTCCACACTGTGCCTCTGCCCCTGGTGGGCAGGTCAGTGCCACTGTCCTAGGCACATGTTTGGGAGACACGATGCCTCTCATTGGGCTCAGCCCAGATCCCCTGCCAGGTGCCTTGGAAACCCTGAGGGGTCAGGACCTGCCACTTCCTGCTCCGTTTCCCGTGAGGGAGATGTGGGCCCCCTGTAGCCTGTAGGGTGGATGTCCTGACGTCAGGGAGGGAGGGCTTAGCAAAGGCACCCATTCCTAGGGACAGGCTTTCCTCATGCTGATGGCTCTGTCCCTGGTCCTCTGCCCTCCGAGAGGACCCAGAGCCTCCCTCTCCATGGGGCAGGGCTGCTGTCTCAGAAACTGCCCTGAGTCTGGACCGAGCATGTGGGGAGCCCGGCCCAGGTCCAGCCCTGCAGCCGCCCCACAAGAAGCTCACTTTCTCTCCCATCTGCCCGGCAGAGCTCCTACCCCATCTGGGAGGACTTCAACTCCAAGGCCACAAAGCTGCATTCCCAGCTGAGGTGAGTTGTCCCAGGGCATCCCAGCAGGGGAGAGGCAGGCAGAGACCCCCCACCCCCGACCATCCGTGCTGTTGTCCTTCTGACCATCTGTGTCGTTGCCCCTCTCCCTAGGACCACCGTGCTGGCTGCTGTGGCCTTCTTGGATGCCTTCCAGAAAGTGGCTGACATGGCTACCAACACCCGAGGTGGGGAGGCGCGTGGCTGGAGGTTGGGGGTACCCCAAGATGGGCCTGGAGGCTGGAAAGGCAGAGTAAGGGATGGGCCAGGGAAAGTACGCCAAGCCCAGAACCTTGAGTTCTGCTCCTTAATGGAATGGGCTGGTTGTGGAGAGTGAGCCCCTCGTCACAAGAGGCATGCAAGCAGGAGTGGGTGAGTAGTGACAGGAGTGTTCCCTGGGGATTCCCTTCTTGCTGTGGCTGTTCATGTGACCCCAACCCCCCCAGCACAGAGATTCTCCTTAGGGCTTCTTCCCACCTATGCCCGCCATCCTTGTAAGAGCACGCAGGGTCAGGTGAGCGCGCCGTTGGGCTTGGCGCCTCCACCGCCCTCTGGTCCGAGTGGCAGAGACCTGGGGCTCCTGCTCCTTCGGGTCCTGGGCGTGCTCATACTCCCGTGCCTGCATCTGGGCACACCTGGAGGGTCGTTTGGCCAGCTCCTGGAACAGTCTTTGGCGCTGGCCTCTCCCAACTGGGGGAGAGGGGAGGCCGCCGCAGGAGGCTGGCACGGCGGGGATGGCGGAGGAAGAGCTGGTGGAGATGGAGGAGGCCCCAAATCCCCCAGGGCCCGCAGGA